GTGGTAAATTGTGGTCAATGTCATGAGACAAAGTGTATGTGAACTCTGTGTGAAAAGTGAATTTTCTCTGTAAATTTTCACCCAAATCACAATTAAAAAAAAAAAAAAGTTAAAAAGAAAAAAAAAACCTCAATCCCCAAAGTGTTGGAGAGCCTTATTTCCTTCTTGTAAATCTTTAAAACCAAAATTGTCTATAAAACTGAGCCTTTTCTTTGAACTCCACAGTAATTACCAATAACTGGCATCATGTGAGTACTGATGTTTGTCCATGTAGGATTTTAAGATGTTCCCTTGCACTAACTAGAATCTGGCATCAACTGCCAATCTTGATTGTCTGCCTAATTGGAGAGAGGTTCAGACATGGAGGAACCAGCCAGCTAACCAGGCTGCCTGCCGAGCCTTGATTAAAGCCTATGGGTCCAGCACATCTCACTGTGGACCTCAAAACACCAACGCACAATTCTTCCCTGCTGTTACCTTCCTTTCCTGGGCAATTTAGTGAAATAAGGATTGCACAGATAGGGAAATAATCCAAAACACACTCTTTTGGTCTACATTATTTGCTTCTGACGCCTGTTAGGCTTGTTTTGGCCTCCCATGGACAGAATTGGTATATGCAACACATTCTGTTCTTGCAGAGAAAAGAAACTAATCATTTTTTTCTCCCATAGGATGGAAAGACAGCAGAAGATCTTGCTAAATCAGAACAGCATGAACATGTAGCCAGTCTCCTTGCAAGACTCCGAAAGGTAAGAAATCCTCTTTATTGATCCAAATTCTCGACCTGTTTTTATGTGAAAATTTCTAAGACAGTGACTTGCAAACTTTGTTGCCCATTTGAATCACCTGGAGAGCTTTGAGCAATCCTAATGCTCAGGTCACACCCCAAAAATAAAGGTTTACACATGTAACCTCTTAGAATGAAAACAATGTAGCCAGGCTTTGTTTGGACACACCATGTTTTACAAAGAGGAGGCTTCCCCTTTTTTGTATATCAACTTGCATAAATGTATAGGTGGCCTATTGCATTTCTTCTGAATTTATACATGGAAATCATTTGGCTTCATTATAGTTGTTGTGTCTGATTTCTCTCCTTTCACCCTCTGTGATTACCCCACACATTCCCCACAAAACTCCCCATGAAGTGGGGAAAGGAGAAAGCTAGTTTTTTGCCTCTTCCTAATGTTTAGAGCTCCAAGATACCACTGTTTATCAGCATCCCAACTTTGAGGTTTAAAGAAACGTTACAAAAATAGGCACACCCTTTAAGTTAGTAACTCTGTATTTGGGACTTTATGCTAAAGAAATAAGACAAAGAAAGGAGGGAGAGAAGGATGAAGGAAGGAAGAAAGGAAAAAACAACTTCATATACACAGATATTCATTGTAGTGTTATTTATAATATAGTAATAAATATTGGAAACATTAACTGACCAAGAGTGATGTCTAGTAAATTATAGTACAGCTATAGAACAAATAGGTTTTAGGCCACTAATATAGTTTTGAAGAGCTTAGTAGCAGGAGTTTAATGCTTAAGGTGTCCCTGGGCTTCAAAACTGAATAAAAATCATGTGCACATTATAATCCCTACTGTTTTTTGCATAGAAAATGTAAAAGTGACTACCAAAATGTTAACAGTGCTGTCTTTGAATTTTGCTATCATGAGTAACATTTT